AGTCATTCCACGTTTGCTCACTAGCATCGTTGTGAACGTCCATCTAAGGAGGAATCACTCAACTAAACTACACGCATTATTGGTTTTGTGAGGTCAAATGCTCCTTGTCTGCAGTTTTTATCTCTGAGAAGAAAGTTGGTTGAATAGCAAGATCGCATCTGGATGATTATTTGTATTGGTCTGCATGTGTATAAAATCAGTGATATTTGCTGTGTGAGAAGATCAATACTGAATATGCTGCCAATGAAATATATCTATTGGCTGTGCCCGACGGGTTATTTTTATGTTGTGCTTTCGGAAGAGCGGTTATGTTCAAAGTTATAAATTACGAAAAACTGAAGAGAATTACGGGAAATCATCACCGCGCCCGCGTTGTGTGTAATTACACTGATCAACAGCCAAAAAATATCCTAAATAAAATCAACAAAATATTACTATTTTTAATGTGCTAAAACCGGAATGAAACTTATTTTTTCAATATTAGTTCAAGTTTTAGAGATACTGTAATTATATGTGTTCCTGCTGTGACAGTGTTAATATACTGTAATTCACAAGAATGCACGTGCTACATTTTTATATTCGGCAAGGAAAGATGATGTAATCGGCATGATTGTGTTACGTTATACATACGTGTACATTATATTGTTTTATATTAGCCATTTTTTCCTCAGTTGGCTGACAGCGTTCATGCAAGAAGTGTGTAAACAATCCAGATCAGTTTTGTTACGTGTGTGGTGATGTGACTTTTGCGTCTCAGAGACGGTCTATTACTCCACTAATAACAATGGCATATCAGCTTTATTTCGGTTGTTAACTAGGTGATCAAGACAAACAGTGCTGTAATACATGTGCTTTCAAGTCTGAGGAGCTGGTTAAATGGCAAAAAACGGTATATGCGCTTTGCTGTCCCAATGGTTTGGAGAGAGCCTACAAATCATATTAATGATTGTTACTTTTGCATGGTACCTTATGTTGGACAATCCACAGGTATGTCCAAGAAAAAAAAATCGGTTATTAACTACCCAAACATACCATCTGCGATGAGATCTGTGCCTCACAGTGACGAAAATCCTATTCCAAAACCCCCAGAATCCTACACTTGCGAATCAGAAAACGAATCAGATCATGGCGATCGAGTGATTCGTCAGGAAGAAGATATGCCATCAACGTCAAGAGATCCTGATTTTATACCGAGCACGTCATGCCACCAACCGCACAAAATAACACAGAATTAAATGATCTTGTAAGAGATTTAGAACTTCCAAAATGTAAGGCAGAGTTACTTGTATCAAGACTGCAGCAGTGGAACTTGTTAGAAGACGATGTTTCGGTATGTGTTTTTCGTAAACGCCACAAAGACTTAGAACCATTTTTCAATATGGAGAATAACTTGGTTTTCTGCAGTAACATTAACGGCTTACTGGCGGCTTTAAATATAAACTATAACCCAGAAGAATAGAGATTGTTTATAGACAGTTCAACATTGAGTTTAAAGGCAGTGTTATTGCATATTGAAAATATTTTACCATCTCTTCCTGTAGGGTATGCAGTTCACATGAAAGAATCATATGACAATATGAAGTACCTATTGACATGCATAAAATACGATGAGCACCAATGGCATATTTGTGGCGATTTGAAAGTTGTTGCACTTTTACTTGGGCTGCAGCTAGGCTACACAATGTTGTGCTGTTTTTTGTGTGAATGGGACAGTCGGGCAAAGGCACTTCATTACACCAGACAAAACTGGCCTGTTCGTCAATTCCTAGAGCCAGGTCAAAAAATGTACAGCATATGCCATTAGTAGATTCGAAAAAAATTTTATTACCACCACTGCAGATCAAGTTGGGCCTAATGAAAAACATTGTCAAGGCATTAGATAGAGATGGGTCAGCTTTTCAATACCTGCATCAAAAATTTCCAAGACTAAGTGAGGCAAAGGTTAAAGAAGGTATTTTTGTTGGGCCACAGATTCGAAATATTTTGAAAGATACACAGTTTGAAAACACTTTAACAGGTATTGAAAAAACTGCTTGGAATGATTTCCGTCTGGTGGTCACTAATTTATTGGGAAATAGAAAAGCTGACAACTATAAAACCCTTGTCAAATATGCTGTCATCGTATCAAAAGATGGGCTGTAATATGTCTCTTAAGATAAATTTCCTACACTCACACCTGGACTTTTTTCCTGACAATTGCGGAGGCCTAAGTGATGAGCACGGCGAACGTTTTCATCAGGATATTTCAACAATGGAAAAAACCAAGGAAAGTGGATTCCTTCCATGCTTGCAGACTACTGTTGGACTCTTGGTATAGATGCTCCAGAAACGATCCATGAAAGAACAGCAAAAAGACAGCGCATATAGTGATTCTTATAAGAATATGAATCTTGTTACTTTTTTTAATATATCCTTAAAAATAAAAAGTTTTTTTTCTAAACCGCAACTAATTTTTTTATTTCATTGTGATTTTTGGATTCAGCGCCCCAAAATTAACAAAGAAGTGCACTTTTCCCACAAGATACAATTAAAAAACTAAAATTTGTTGTCCAGTGATAGGTAAACTTTTCAATATACTGTATTTTAAATGCATTCCACTACAAATCTCAAAAGTCCAGGCAGTGCACCTGGGTCCCAAGGTTTTCATATTTTTACGTCCAACGGACCTCCACTAACACTATCCACAGATGAGCTGCATGCATGCCGGGGAGTTTCAAAACCACAACTTTTTATCACATTAGCAGAGTTATCCAGTTAGCCGCGCACTTAGTACCTCGTCTTTGGAAGTTCGCTGTGTATGCGCTAAATTCCCTAACACCGTTTCCTGTAATTAGATAAAAAGTTTGCGCCATATACTCCCGCTGGCACAGAACATTCCCCAAATAGAACAGCACGGCACAGTGTCAGGAGATGTGTGAGGCGAAAGATTCCGAGTTGGATTCGAAAGCAAACATTGGAGGAAGAGAGATGCCTTTAGTACAGTACACATTTCAAGAATTCAGGTTTTTCGAATAAAAACATATTTGGCATCAAATATCGTACAAACTACCCCAATTAATGTATTCGTGTATCCTGTAGATCACGTCATCAAGTCAGTCAATTCATCGTTGGTTGTCAGAGCGGTCCATGGGACCTTAGCCCTTGTGTCATAGTATCTACCGGGTTTGGTAACCTAGAAACCAGACAATTTTAACCCTACAGCGGTAGCTGCGGGTCACTCTGACCCGCACATATTTTATACGCCCTGCCTCTCCCGTATTAGTTAAGATACATCGCTCGCCTCTTAGGTACCTTCCTATGAACTACTTATCTACAAGACTCAGTACATGTTGCTTTGTTTACATTGAGCTGTCTACTTGAACGGAGCTCTTGCGGGTCACCGTGACACGCAGCGACTGTTTTCGGTGTCATATTAGTTTGCGACTATTTTCGGTTCCATTGTTTATTACTGGCATTTTGGTGTCTAAGTAAGTAGGAACCATCAGAAAAACCAAACCTCAGCTTCCTACTTGCTTTATAAAAAGCAAAGACGTGAGGTAAGCTCGGTTGTTTTTGGTTTTGGGAAAAATAGTACAACGCTGGTATCATATGTACCAAAAAAGGGCAAGTTTGTTGTTCCGTTATCGACTATGCACCATGGTAAAACAATTGATCTTGATAGTGGTGCCGCCCGAAAACCAGAGGTTGATGTAGTAGATGAGATGTGTGGCACATACTCAACAGCCAGGAAAACCAACAGATGGCCCCTTTCAGCCTTATTTCATCTTCTGGATGTGGTTGGGGTCAATAGTTTTGGCATATCATCGTACAATGAAAAAGGGGATCAGCGCTTGATGAGAAGAACTTGGCTCAAAGAGTTAGCCAAGGAACTTGTTTCTCCATACATGCGATCTCGACTGCAAATTGCAAATTTTCCCAAGTTTATCAGGACCAACATTATAGAAATTCTCCAGGAAGGTGAACCTGCTGCTGCCGAAGAATAACAAGCAGAACAAGATTCAAGAAAAAGGAAGATATGCAAATTATGTGCGAGAACGGGTAACAAATCTTACCACACTTGTGCGATTTGCAAAATATGTATCTGTGGAAATCATGGCAAACTTACATGCCTGAATTGTCTGAAAAATACTCCTTAGAAATGGGCACGCAATAAATACAGTTTATAAATGGTTTCAGAGATATTTTTTGTTATAAATTTTAATTCAGTATTAGCAGAAAAAATAGATTTATGTTTTTCATTATTTAAAGTAGGATTTTTTTTAGAAATAAGTATTAATCGACCAATGCAGAAAAACTTTTTTTAGCTACTTTTTTGAAAGATACCTAACTGTTAGATTTTAAGGTTTTTCTATACCAATGTTAGGTTATATGCTTTAGTTACCTTCGCAAATAAAATCTTTAAAAAAATAATTAAGCAATTCTATTGGTTATACTAAATTTATAGGGCCTAACACTAGCGGGTCACTATGACCCGCAGCGACCTGATTAATATACTTTGGGGGCGCGAACGCTGTCGGGTTAAGGAAGGAAAAAAGGGAGGAAGAGAGCAAAGGAGAAGAAGATAATCTTTTAGAACAGAGAGCGTTTAGGCACTGTTAAAATCACTTTTGATATGGTCTAAAAATATGATTTGTGTGAGGATTTTGTCAAAAGGCTTCAATTTTGACTAAGCATGTGCAGTGGTCGATTCTGGTGTGATAGATCGCGCTTTGCGCTGTCTTATTGTTTTAATTTTGGTGGCCTTTTGTGTTTGCGAACTTGCTCGACTGTAAAGTTCACTGACAGGCGCAACAGAAGGTCGCTGCCCGATTCCTCCTGGCTGTATTTGTACCAGACAAGTATTGAAAACCTTTGTCATAATAACAGTCAGCGCCTGCTGCAGATGAAAGTTAACCACATTTCCTTTCTTCAAGCAACTATTTATGAATCAAAATCGATCCTTCTTCATACAAACGTTCAAATATTGCTTAATTGATTTGAAACATTCAAATATAAAATTTTCACCAGATATCAGGAGTCATCTAGCACTTATATTGAATACGACATCGTAAACTTCTCAAATGTCAAGTTAATCTTGGAAAGTTTGTGCAAACAAAAAGTTAAATGTTCAAATACCTGCAAGGATATAAGCAGAGACATCTTGTTGCAAAATATGTTACTATTATGAAACAGTGATAACAGTGTTAGGACTTATAATGAGTACTTTTGAATCACCAATAACCAGACGACCAAGTTTGGAACTATGTTCCCACAGGAGTTGGATACAAGAGGGGCAACAGAGAAGAGACTAAAATGGCAGCAGGTAGGTGCATAAGTAACTTATATTTCACTTCAAAATTAAATATATCAAATATTTATAAATATGTACAGAGTTTGTCCGGAAAGTAATAGGACTGAGTCGATTTAAAAAAAATGTATTGAGCCAATCGTTACAATTCTTCAAAAACTTTCAAAGTAGGCTCCTTCTGCGTCGATGCAGCGCTGCCAGCGCGATTTCCAAGCATTGCAGACGTCCCGGAAGGCGTTCTCTGGAATAGCCTTGAGAGCCGCGGTGCATGCTGCTTGGATCCCCTCTGTCGTCTCAAAATGCTTGCCTTTCATGGGCCTTTTCAGGCGAGGAAATAAAAAAAAGTCCGGGGGCCACATCTGGGCTGTAGGGCGGCTGCGGAAGCGTTGGGATGCCGGCCTTGGTCAGGTAGCTGTTCACAAGAAAGGCGGTGTGAGCCGGGGCGTCGTCGTGGTGCAACTTCCAGTCGGCTGCGATGTCTTGTCGGACCCGACTGACCCTTCGTTTGAGTCTCCTGAGCACTGGACGATGCCTTTGATGTCAAAAAAGACAATGAGCATCGTTTTCACTTTGGATTTGCTCATTCTTCCCTTTTTTGGGCGAAGAGACGCCGTCGTGTGCCACTCGGAAGATTGCCTCTTTGTTTCTGGATCATACTCAAAGATCCACGACTCGTCAACTGTGATTAAGTTATTCAAAAAATGGGGGTCACTTTCACACATGTTCAAATTTTCTTGGCACACTTTCACTCGCCGCAATTTCTGGTCGTCAGTGAGCACTTTTGGGACCATCTTCGCGCACACCTTGCGTATATTCAAATGCTGTGTCACAATGTCATGAACCACAGATTTTGGTAAATTTAGCATCTGAGCAATTAAAAGAATACTTAGTCGACAGTCTGAGTTCAAAACTTTGCGCACACGAGTCACATTATCGGTGGGTAAGCCCAGATCAAATCAAACGTCTCTGATGCAGATTTACCGAGTTTCACACAGAATTTAATCGCGTACCTCTGCTCTAACGAACGCTACATTTTCGGCTTGCACCACTCACAGAAACACGTCGCGCAAAAATGCCTGTCCTGACTCTCCAAGTGCTCGGAGATAACTGACCAGCCGCTCATTCGTTAGCTAGGAACGCCCTCTACCGAATCCAGTCGGTACGCGCATGCTCCGAAGTACAGTCATGGCGGAAGAAAATGAGTCCTATTACTTTCCGGACAAACCCTGTATACCGGATGGAAGTTATTCTTTTATCTATACTGTTTAAGTCAAAAATATTAGGGACTTTTCACAAACAAAACACTTTCCAAAAGTTAATGCAAGCAAACCAAGGTATTGGCACTGATTTTAGGCCAATAACTAACATGTGACCCAAATGTCAATCTGCGTTTATTGATAGGATAATGTGAACGATGTTTTTAGAGAAACCTGGATAACAATTTTAATACGTCAGTGGCCTTAGAAAAAGGGGAAAAGAAACTAAAACGACATTTCAATAGACAGAAGAACCAGCTCTGGTGGATGACTGCTTATTTCCAAGAATTATTGGAAAATGAACTCAAAAATGTGTGTATTTAGTTTAAATTAATCTTAGATTCCGAATACGCGATAACCTATAGGGTCTTAGAAATTATTTCATGCCATAGCAGTCACGAAGCCTAGAACTTAGATAAAAGGTACACTGCGACTACTATAAAAGGAAGTCTGGTCAAAATTTTGAAACAAAAAGATTTGCAAAATATTCTCAATACTCTCAGAACCAAAGAATACAGAGTTATGAGTATTACTCGGATGCATTTTTTTAGGTCCACTTTTTTATTGCTTAATAGTAGTGTTTGGTGCACATACGGAATAGGTTGTCAAAAAATTGTCCGTAATGGCATCGAGTAATTGTTTTTCTACAGGGCAATTCATGTCGTTACTGTTTTGATGACATAGACAATGGATGACAAATATATTTTTCTTAAAAAAATGCGATGTGACTGGCAATGATTCATCTGTCGTACTGTATTCTTTGTTATTACGTAACCTCAGCGACCACTGTGCCAATCTTGTTAAATACTTGGAATATACTGGTCACAAGTTTCTAAATGGGTGTGTGAGTTAAGTAACAAACAAATTGTTTTTCTTATTTTCGTTATCTGTAGTTAGGGAAATATTTGTATTAAAGTATAGAAAAAAATGTGAAAGAAATGGAACGAGACTTTTATAAACTATAAAGGATATGCTGCAGGAGGTGTACGACTAGTAACACTGAAAAAATCTATATATCAAACTAGTAAAAGGTACGGCTTTCATCCATTCGTCCACTGACGGCCAACCATGGGCAGCTGTTTGGTGCAAATTGGCAACTGGTCAGGTAGGTCAATGAACCAAAGTTGGGTAATTATCCCTGTTCATCGTATGTATAAGGCCTACCGGAATAAGACAGCACAACGTGCCATCTGTTACCAGAATAGACCACTGCGAATTGTTTTCACTAGCTCAGTGGTCGATTCCGGTAACAGATGGCACTTTGTTTTGTCACCATTCTCACCTTTATTTGCATCTAAGCACGCAGCACCAATTTGTCATAGTGAATCGCCCTGTACACATGTAACAGCCACGAGCCCACTCCCGAAGAGATCGGATGCCGGCCATCGACTACCTGGATAGTTAAAGAAACTATCATATGCTTAGAAAAATATTTTTTCGCATAATCTCATTCAAAAAAGACAGCTTTTAACGAATCTGCATGTTGCCATGCCTAAAATTGCGTCAACAATTGTTTCACTTTTTTATTACGGTTGTGCAAAAAACCTAATCAGAATATTTCTCCAAGCAGATGCGAAGATATTTCCTGAATGAATGGGTGATCACATCCAAAAAGCAGGTAGCATTTCAGCCACCAGATGTATCATCTTAGCCACCGTGGCAAAATCTGAGTTTTTTCCATGGAGTGGTTCTTCTACTGGTAACTATTCTAACTAGTCTAATCATACAGGGTGCGGCAGAGAGGACGGACGTTTTTGGGATGGGTAGTACTCTCCGCCTCCGTCTACGAGAGAGGTGTGGGGAGGGTGCCGTTTGTCTCGTGAGATCCTACCATTATTTTACCAGTTGTCGTTATGGAGTCTTGGACGGTGGAGCTCCGCGTTTTCGCCTATGATTGTTTCGTCCGAAATAATGAGTCAGTCATCGTCGTACAGCATGAGTTTCGTCGTCACTTCAACATTCATCGGAATAGAGCTGTTCCCTCTCGAAACACCATCCTTCGTTGGGTTGAATCACTTCGCAGTCATGGTGAATATGGATCTCCGCTTCCACCCCTACAAATTGACCATTGTGCAACAGTTACAGCCCGGAGATTATGCACAACGAGTGAATTTCGCACGTGAAATGGAAGCACTGATCGATCAAAATGAGAACCTCACTTTGTTTATGAGTGACGAAGCCCACTTTCACCTAAACAGCATCGTTAACCAGCAGAATTGTCGTTATTGGGCTAATGAAAATCCGCAACAGTTACACAAAAGACCGCTGCACAGCCCAAAAGTAATGGTTTGGTGCGCTGTATCGCAAACTTGCATCATTGCATCTTCGAAGACGGTAATGGTCGTGATGTAACCGTGAACTCACCAACTTCTTTCTCCCTGAATTACGACGGCGACGTGTTCCAGTCCGACGTGTGTGGTTCCAGCAGGATGGGGCGACCGCCCACACAGCCCGAGCGTCCATGGACGTTATTCGCCCTCTCTTCCCTGGTCGCCTTATTTCCAGGTTTGGCTATGTTATTGGCCTCCTCGGTCCCCAGATTTATCCATATGCGATTTTTTCTTATGAGGACACCTCAAGGCTAGAGTATACGCGAACAAGCCCCGAACTCTGGACGAATTGAAGGGCGTGGAATTCGCCCAAGTTGAGAGAGCGATGTTGGACAGAGTCTACGCGAACTTCCAAGAACGCCTCCAGCACTGCATCAACAATTTCGGCCACCACATGCCTGATGTTATTTTCCACACTTGACTGTCTCAAATGCTATTTCCTTGTAAACCTGATTCCATCAATAAATTTGTTTTCGAGTAAGAATTAACTATTTTATGATTTTTTTAAAACCGTCCATCCTCTCTGCCGCACCCGTATTAGACGACAATACCCCTGATTTGCGAAATAATTGTAAAGTCTGGTTTTATTGATGTAAGTTGTTCACGGGCGTATTCAAAACATGTACGCATGCAATGGGTACATCAATTTTTGTGAGAAAACTTTTTATTCGACAACAACGAATGAGAAAACGTGTTTTTTGGGTGTTGGCGGCAACGGAAAACTCTTCATATAAGATTTTTAGGTATTTGTGAGACCTACAAAATGAGACTACACGTAGAAATATCCGAATAATAGCAAAAAACGTTATGGCCGAAACCGGGGCAAACTGCAGGTTTTGGCACTTGTTGGTATTGCGACGATGGTTTCTTGCAGATACCTGAAAATCTTCAAATTCATAGGATTCGTACTTATAATTAACAACAACAAAATTGGAGTAGATTGGTTAAATAGTTTTTCCACAAAAATTGGTGTACCCATTTTATGCGTCCATGTTTTAAATACCTCCTTGAACAACTTGCACCAATAAAACCAGACTTTGCAATCATTTCGGGGAAATTTGCTAATATGATTAGACTATAAGAACAAAGAAGAGGAGCTGTTGGAATGAAATGAACTAACCTGGTGGGTCCGTCTAGCAGGTGTAAAACGCACCGACGCCATGAAGGAAGCTCAGAGAAACTCATTCCATCGTCATATCTTTAGACAGGGATACGAAAATTGAATATAGAACTGAAATATTTTAGCTACATAATATATTTTAAAGAATGTACCGGCAGTTTCCCTACTTGTGGCGGTCCCGTACGATGTATAATAATCACCTTACGCTCGTATTCGGTATATCATACGCAAACATAATATCGATAGAATATCTTTGTTCCCGAACATCAAACCATTACTTCCAATTAACAACCCAATTAGATAATAGAA